GAATTCTTCACAGGTCACCCGACTTCAAAGCCGCTCCTTTGGAAATCAAGAGTTTTCTGATGCAAATGTGCTAAAAAGGCGCCTGAGAAGAAAGGATACAGATGTGGATTTGGATGCAGCCTTTCATTAGCTTCTCCTTGCTGTTGTCAGCATTGTTAGCTACCAACACTTGTGATTTTTAGGCTTTGTATGTGGATCCTTCATTTACTATGCCATTTGAACCCTTGGGCACAAAAGCAGCGCTCCTTCAGTCGCTCTGAGGAGGAAGCAAGGTTTCAATGACATGAAAAGATCTCCCTCACACACAGATGGAGGGAAATGCAACTATTAAAAGTAAGAAATCCAAATTCAGATGAGCCTTTGCAGCGGGATTGCTATTAAAAGTGGATTTTCCCATTGGTTTCTACAGTTAAATAAAATATATATAGATATTCGGTTGCAGAGGAAGATGTGAAACATTGAAAGGGATTGGGATTTGAATATGAAAATCCCGGGAGAGCGTGTCAACTCGGGACATCTCTAGGATATAAAACCATCGATTTTAATTTGGTCCGATACTAAGTCCTTATTTCAGTCCGATAAAAAACATTGAGCATACTTTACGATTAACACCTTGGACTTGTTACAGCGACCAAAAATGAGGGTTCTTCAAAGATTTTCAAAGAATACACAAATGGCTCGAGTCTTTGTGACGCAGAAGGTCTGTAGTTTTGGCCTCTGATGAGTCATTTACTTGAATTATAAATGGGAACAATCTCTGCACACACCAAAAGACCAAAGTCAGTTAACATTTTCTTGGTAAATCTAAAAAAGGGCAGGGCAGACAGTTGTTGATATTTGCTAACTTGCTAACCTATGGACCAATAACTTTTTTATGGTTTATTATTATATTTCCCGGTGTTCTGGTAATTTGATTTTCTAATCTCTTCCCAATTTCTGTGATGTCCTCCGATAAGACTGCTGCCGTGATTTTGGGCAATACAAAAATACATGTATTATATTTGATAAAGCTTGTGTTTGCAGGTTGACTCTAATTCACTGTAGAATGAGGGTTGCTTTTTCCCTTTTCACAGTTGAGGCAAATAGACCTCAAGACTAAAAATCCAGGCCGAATACGTGTAAAATATTCTCTTTACATACACTTTTTTGGTTCCTTTTTGGACTTTTTTACATCTGAGTTTGGAGTTCATCCTAGAATTTTTCACTGCGAATAAGAGGGACCCATTTTTTTTTTAATCTCATATTTCCAGGAGTTTTGCAAATATACTGTAACAATTGACATGATAATAATAATTGTATACATTAGGTGAAATCTTTAAAGTCAATTGAAATAATGTAGGTATGGCTTCCTTCTATACTATGAAGATAACATTTTATTTTCCGTATGTGAATCAACCCACAGTGCTTAACAGACACATTGGGAGAACAACATTCATTCATTCATTTACATCCCTTTATTTTCCATTTCTGGGGCAGGGGGGTGGCAATCAGACCTGCCACCCAATTCACACAGCACCAGTCCCTCGCTGATCCCCCTGCAGGTGGTGGGTCCACAGGGAGATGGCTGCTCTTTCGACACAAATGCGGCCTTGGTCTTGCAGTGGGGACTTCAGGCAAAGTGGGGACACAACGACAGCAGACATCAGTGGGAGCAGTTGGCATGGGTCGCGGTGGGATCGAACCCCCGACCATCAGGTCCACAGACCAGTGCTCTATCAACTGAGCTACTGTCGAACAACATTAGAACAAAAAATGGTATTGTGCCTTATTCCTCTGCAGGATCAACAATTATACAGTTTGCGTTTTACAACTTCCACCAATAATGATTTGAAGAACACTTTTACAATTCCATCAAAAAGGTCACTACATTATGTTTTTTGTTGGGTTCCACTTAACTGATTAACCCAATGAATGTCACATGTTTTTTCTCTTTTTTTTAACAATGGCATAATCAAAATCAGCCTCTTTGCACCGAACCATTTGCTTCACTTGTAATAGAAAAAAACACAGCATGTGTTTGCACATTGTCCAATTGTTTTTGCTGTTCAAGTGTTTATGTGCAGTGCTGATTACAAGTGCACTCAGTCCCTGTTACAACGGAGTAATGTGTGTTCTAGCATTTCTATATTTAAGTATTATGCAGCTGGTAGGTCTCCACTGATTGGACCTGAACCTCCCCTTGTCAAGGCAACCGCTTTGTGAACACAGTTGGAGTACGTTTGTTGAAGAATAAATACGATGCATTGGTTTTGTTCATTTGGGCCTTTTGAATCAGATCAGTTTTGGTTTAGAAAGGGAAATAAAGTTGAGGTCTCAAATGGAAATATAAAATCCATCTAACGAGTTCCTCTTCTCTCAAAGCATTTGGTTCCATCACTAGTTTTCATGTATTGGGCTCTATCACATCCTTGTCAGCTTTTACGGAGAGAGAAAGAGAGGACCATCCTCACTCAGCCAATCAGCTTGTTATGGCAACCCTTTTCCCCCAATCGTATATATTTTGGTTTAAAAAGTCCACTGGGTGACTCACAGGGCTAGTGATTTAAGTGTGCAAAAGAAAACACAACAAAAATGTAAATTAGAATATATCTGACGACGACATTAGTTGAGATAATTACAAACTTTATAGAACTGACAGAGGGTCTAGAGGTGGTGGTGTTGTTTCTGTTTCTGTTGTTTCTGTTGATTCTCCTGTTCACTTCGAAGCTCTATTTATCAAGATTTTTCTCCATGAAAACCAACATATGTATGTATGTGTAGGTAATACATATAGACCTCCAAATTTGCCCAAATCTGAATCAATAAATAATATTCTGTCTACTGTATCCTCCCTGATGAGTGATTGTGAGCTGGTCCTAATGGGTGACTTTAATATTAAGTGGCTGGACCCTTCCACATTTAGTGAACTGAACTTGTTTAATGGCTTAAATTTAACTAGAGAAACTAGAGTCACTCTTATTTCTAAATCCCTGTTGGATTGGGCTCTTGTCTCTCATCCCAATAGAATAAAACAGTCTGGAATTCTTCCAGACTGTTTTAGCGATCACTGTATGATTTACTGTAAATGGAAAATTTCAAAACCTTGTCTTCCTCCTAAACTACAGATACAACAGTTCAAAACATTTAATACAGATATATTTATTTCTGACTTACAATTGATTAACTGGAATAGACTTGACTTGATCCCAAACATAGATGATGTCTGGAACTTTCTCTATTCCGAACTATTGAGAGTTGTTGATAAAAATGCTCCGTGGACCATAATCAGAGGATCACATCTTCCTTGGATTGATGAGGAGCTAATTATTTTGTCCAAACTAAGAGACAGGGCATGGAGTACATTCCACAATTCTGAACTCCCTGCTGACTGGGATAAGTACAGACAGTTGAGAAATGTCTGTACCACCCAAACAAGAAACTTCAAGGCTAACTACCATAGAAACAGTTTGACCAAAAATTTTAAAGAATCCAAAACGGTTCTGTAAACAAATGAATAGTGTGCTTGGGAAAGGTCTCCATAATATCTTGGTCTTTGGCTTGACGCAAATCTTTCTTTAACACCCATATTCACAAAACTGCACACAAAATAAACTATTCCTTGAAAGCACTTTATCAATCAATTAACTGCTTTAATTAATCTGCAAGGAAAAGGATTATTTCACAGTACTACTTCCTATATTAGACTATGCAGACATAGTTTATCAAAACACCACCTTCACTTCTCTCCATCCTCTGAACACTGCCTACAACAGCCTGTGCAGGTTCATTCTGCGCTGCCCCTACAGGACCCATCACTGTGACATGTACCAGCAGCTGTCCTGGCTCTCTCTGTCCCAAAGACGTCACTCTCACTGGTTGTTTTTCATTTATACATTTATAAAAATGACAAAAAAGTCATTTTTTTGATTATCCTCTTTATTTAAAGCAATATTTAACCCCTTTTATTTCCTCTTATAATCTTCATCACACAAACCAGCTTTTCTTTCACACTCCTTGTGTCAAAAAATAACTTGGCAAATATGCTTTCCAATATAAAGCTCCGTACAACTGGAATCTCCTTCCGGCCTCTATTCGCTCTTTAACCTCTTTTCCTCTTTTTAAAGTTGCTGTATTAAGGCGTCTGTGTAATGTTTGTAACTGCTACTGAACTTTCTTTTAAACATTATATCCTTTGGTTCTCACTGTCCTAGTTTGTGTGTGTGTGTGTGTGTTGTCTGTTTTATTGAATTAATTTACTGTAACTTGTTTTGTTTTTTATTCGTTACACTATACTGCATTCATTTGACAACCGCTGCTGCTACTTGTGTTGCTCTTTTTGAGGACCCTCTTGAAAACAAGATGATGCATCTTGTGAAGGAGTAGTCCCCACTCCTCACCCACAGGTGTATCCTTTATTTAGAAATATTTAGCTTTGTTCATTTTCCCTGTCCCTAACTTGTCCCTTCTCTTTTCTTGGAAGGTGATTGGTGGAGGTGCTGGGCTGGAGGCGCGCCCATCCCAGTACATGCCAGGTGCACCCAACTGAGCAATCAGCTGGGCTCTACCATGATCCTCCAAGAGAGGGGTGTTTCATTTGGACTAAACAAAATATATACATTCCACAAATACCACACCTGTTAAAAAACACCGCCACTAATTTCAAATTACTATAAATTATGATTATAATATATCTGCATAAATTAAATATGTAAATAGTTATACATATTTTGTGAATAGTGTAGGCCTACATTGTTATGTCCCTGGGCGGGTGGAGGTTTTGGTTTAGGCCACTGTATAAAAAGGGGAAGATTCCATTTGAACAGTGTGTTCCTGTTGTGTTCCTGTTGTGTGCATGGGGGGATGCTGCCCAAATAAATAAGAAATTTTTTGTGCAAATCTGCAACATTTGGATCTTTGTTTGTTTCCCGTCCTGGTGAGAGGCTGTCCCAGTAGCTCAAACGCTACACTTGGTGTCAGACGTGGGATCGTCGTGCCAATCTGCTGAGACTCACAGGACGAGGATGGGGCCGAAAAAGGTACCAAAACCAGCAGAAGCGGAAATCACACCAGATGGTGATTCTGAAGGGGGCGGAGCTGCAGGACGAGAGCCCGCCAAGGCAGAGATACTTATGGGTGCAGACGTAGAAACCCTAGTTTGCATGTTGCAAAAATGCCGTAAGTTCCAGTCTGACCTGAGCAAGCGTTGGAATGAAGAAACGCAGAAGCAGGAGGAACGATGGCAGGAGATGGAGGTACAGGTCCACAGACTCAGAAAGGGCCTGACCGAAGTTGCGAGGCGTAGTCCTCAACACCCCCATGTACAGCGACCGGAAGAATCGGAGCCCCAATCTCCCACGCTACGGGAGCATTTGGGGAGAGGCTGGGTCCAGTCAGTGATTCCAAGGCTGGAGGTCAGTGATGACATTGAGCCATATCTCACCACTTTTGAACGCCTAGCGACCGCATATCAATGGCCAGTGGTCGAGTGGGCAGTGAGGCTTGTCCCATATCTGACTGGAAGGGCTCGGGCAGCCTATGTGGCCATGGATTGCGAGGAATCCTGCATCTACAAGAAGGTGAAGGAGGCCATTCTGATGAAGTACGAAATAAATGAAGATGTTTATCGCCAGCGGTTCCGTGAGCCAGACCTGCAGGCGGGAGAAACGCCAAGAGTTTTATAATCGCCTCAAAGACTTGTATTTGAAGTGGATGCAGCCGGAGAAGACTAAGGAGCAGCTTGGTGAAGCCCTAGTCTTGGAACAGTTCTACCGTTCACTATCACCAGAGCTGAGGGTCTGGGTGAAGGAGCGCAATCCCACCTCTGGGCGTGAAGCAGCAGAGTTGGTGGAGAACTTTCTATCCGCCCGGGGTGGGCCAAAGATCTTCAGGCTTGAACGAATGTCCAGGAGCAGCGCATCGGAGGGTCACAAAGAATGGCAAAAGGAGGGCCTGGGGTAGACTGTGAGACTGTGCAGCCGCGGCCAGGAGGTCGTGTCTTCCGAAGGGGGAGGAAATGTGAAGGAGTAGTCCCCACTCCTCACCCACAGGTGTATCCTTTATTTAGAAATATTTAGCTTTGTTCATTTTCCCTGTCCCTAACTTGTCCCTTCTCTTTTCTTGGAAGGTGATTGGTGGAGGTGCTGGGCTGGAGGCGCGCCCATCCCAGTACATGCCAGGTGCACCCAACTGAGCAATCAGCTGGGCTCTACCATGATCCTCCAAGAGAGGGGTGTTTCATTTGGACTAAACAAAATATATACATTCCACAAATACCACACCTGTTAAAAAACACCGCCACTAATTTCAAATTACTATAAATTATGATTATAATATATCTGCATAAATTAAATATGTAAATAGTTATACATATTTTGTGAATAGTGTAGGCCTACATTGTTATGTCCCTGGGCGGGTGGAGGTTTTGGTTTAGGCCACTGTATAAAAAGGGGAAGATTCCATTTGAACAGTGTGTTCCTGTTGTGTTCCTGTTGTGTGCATGGGGGGATGCTGCCCAAATAAATAAGAGATTTTTTGTGCAAATCTGCAACATTTGGATCTTTGTTTGTTTCCCGTCCTGGTGAGAGGCTGTCCCAGTAGCTCAAACGCTACACATCTCAAGAGGCTATTCCTCGTAATAAAGACATGTCAAACGAATCAGATCTGTTTTGGTTTAGAAAGGGAAATAAAGCTGAGGTCTCAAATGGAACTATGTAATAAAATCCATCTAACTAATTCCTCTTCTCTCAAAGCATTTGGTTCCATCACTAGTTTTCATGTAATGGGCTCTATCACATCCTTGTCAGCTTTTACGGAGAGAGAAAAGTGAGAAAAAGAGAACCACCCTCACTCAGCCAATCAGCTCTCAGCTCAAAATACTAGTCGTTAGAGATTAAGAGATCCGTTATTCGCCCCACAGAAGGGAAAATTCAGTGTTGCATCACAAGTTACATAGAGTAGGAATGAGCACACAGCACGAGATAAATGAATAATAACTCTAGACTAAAATAGAATTAAATGTAATAAAATACTGCATATAAAAGCCTTATGAAATCTCTATCTTTAGTATAATAAGGAAGTTTAAATTCTCCAACTTTAGCATGATGAAGAAGCAAGACTTAAAGGTGCCAGATCCCTGTGAACAAAGTTGATCCCCATTCTCCGTTTTCAGCCAAATATTCTCGTCACATATTTGCACCAACACATTTTCTCCAAGTTGACATCAAGCAAACACAAAAAAGCACAGAGGCTTATTCACAGTCTAGGGACCACACGCTGGACTCTGAGAGAGGCTGCGTGGGCTGCATAGACAGCGCTGATTCGCTGGTTCAGTTTCTCCTCGCTGTCAATCAGTGACGCTTTTGACGTCACGGATTGTGCCAATGTCACAATTTCTGTGCCTCTCGAGAATGAAAGAGAAAGATCGCTCTCTAACTAAAACTTGAATCAATGAAAAAACTACTCTGACTACTCAGCATGGGACAATGTGACTCAGTAAAGTAAAGTAACACATGTGGTTCTATGTTGTATTTTCTGACAATATTAAAGTTATTACAGTTATCAAAGTTTTTATATAGTGGGTCAATATGAAGACCCAAACTCCAAGACACTAGCAATAATTTATAGCAATAACGCTTTTCCCCCAATCATATATATTTTGGTTTAAAAAGTCCACTAGTGACTAACAGTGCTCAACAAGTGATTCAAGTATGCAAAAGAAAACAAACAAAATGTAAATGTGCTCATTCCAAACGATTGGAATGCACACATTTAGAAGTTGCATGCATTAGAAGTTGCACTAATTGAAAGCACAAATAGTTTTAAACAGTGTCATTTGATTTATAACATTACTTCAGAGGCATTGATTTTGATGAATGCTTTGGCGATTATGTCATGGATGTCTGAGGATCCATCAAAGCAATTGTGCCAAATCCCCTGCCTTGTAACATAAGGGATTTCATAATTAATGATACTGTACGGAATGGGAAGTCACTTACGAAAATTAAGTATTTCAAAATAGTTTGGATTAGTTACCACATCTTGCATACAGCTTGTAATATTTTGCCAGGTCCGCAGGATTGTGCTGTATAAAAAGAATCCTTTGGGCCAATATGAAGATTTGTTTTTTGGGTATGTTTATGTTTTGCCAAGAACTGCTGTGAATTAGACGTGCTTCAGGAAAAGTTCAAATTGATCTCCTGGTTATTTGATCAAAACTACTATTTTAAATGTTTTGTATCAGTTTGTTGCACATTCTATTGTCGCTAAACTGCATGTGAAAGCCAGGTCCCACCAGCCCTCTGAAGGTAAGCAGGGCAGGGCCTGGTTAGTTCTGTAATGGGAGACCTCTGGGAACGCCAGGTGCCACAAACGCGGTCTTAAAGTGCCAAACCGTTGCCAGGCATGGCACCTCACCTGCATTTCCTAGAATTAGTTTGGTGTGTGTTGCCTTGCTTCTGTCAGTGTGCCCCAGGGCAGTTATGGCTACAGCAGTAGTTTATCACCACCATGGAGTGAAAGAATGTGAAGCGTCTTTGAGTGTGAAGAAAAGCGCTATATACTGTAAAACTGATGAAGTATTAAAAAAAATAAAAATTCAAATAAAAACATTAATTTCCATTTTAAACTAAACTAATGCTAAACCTCTGAAATCATGATTTAATATTCGTACCCCAATCAATGCAACCCAAATAGACGTCACCTTTTTACAGTGCAGCCCCAATCACCCCCATCTCAATATTGCACGAGGCGCATATGCATTCCGATGTCATAGCTCCGCACATTTAAAAGATGTTTTATTCATTTTACATGTGTTGCAGGATGAATATTTAACAGCGGACGGTTGGTTGGTGGTGTTAATGGGCGGGATGCTGGAGACTCCAACCAAAGCGAGAAGGAAGGTAACATGCAAGGACGCAAACAAAAACAGCTCACACCTCTCAAGGCCCGGAATAATCTGCATGAATTACACAGGTCCCGTCCCGGTAGTTCAGGTGGCGTGCTTTGGAAGAGTTTGTTCTCATGAAAAGGAGTCCAAGAGAGGGTTGTGTTTCAAAAGTAGGGCAGGGAAACGATAGGATAAATCTCTAAGGTGCATTAAAAGACACCTATTATGTATTTTTTTATGAGCTTCTAACATGTCACAAAAGTATTCCTTTATCCAAAACTAAAACTTAAATAGTCATTATTTGACTTGAAAATATTAAATTATTATTACACTGGGTAACAAAAAATGTTTTTTTGAAAATAGTCCAGGGTTTTCCAGCTGAATTAGACTAATTTTGATGCTCTGAGTCCGAAAATGACCTTGGTTTTGCTCAATCAGGTCAGGATCTTTTGCTACAGAAATATTTTTTTTAATCGATTTTGCGTAAAAAACACATTTCTACGGATCATCTGCTGAGAAACCCTTGACGTTTTTTCCGTTTTCTTCAAGAAATAAAAGTCAACCTATCCAAAGTCATTCAGTTTTTATTTACTCCATCAAATTTGATAAGCAGAATTCATAATAACGTTGACGTACATAATCCGTAACACTATGGCTGTATCTCAAAAAGTTGACCTGACGGAGCAAAATGCATGTGATATTCGGACTCAGAACACCAACATTAGTCTAAATCATTTGAGAAACCCCTGACCATTTTTTGGCTGTCAACTTGTGTTATTATTATTTATTTTATGTTTATTTTTTGAGAGATGCGCTGGGAAACGGCTTAAAGTCCTAAGTAGCTGTAAAACAGTTTCATTTTTATTGCTTTTTTCTGCCTGAGATGTTGCCGCAGTATAGTGTTCGCGGTTTTGCACTGGTCCACACCAGAGCAGAGAGGATTTATGGTCAGAACCAAGTGGATTAGGTGAAAATCCACTGGAGGAATGCTGACTTTTTTTTAAAGTGCTAATGAAGCATTTAGCATTTTACTTTGGACTAGAGCAGAGAAAATGGTTCGAACCAAGCGGGTACTCCGCCTTTTGACCTGTCCTGCTCCAGTCCTGCTCCACCCAGAGGCTACTCCATCTCTGCTGCTGTGACTTAAAGGGCTGTTGCTGATTATTACTATTGTCAGCTTTTTAGATTTATCAATTTTATTTTGTATTTTTGCTGCGACTGGACACCTGAATTTCTCCTACAGGGATCAATAACGTATCTCTATCTATCTATCTGAAGTAGTCATTTACTTTATCAAAGATTCCTACAAAAGACAATGTTGACAAAGATGTAATCCCCAGTTTTTTACTGCTTGTTATAACATGAATGGCACACTTGAGTTGTTTAGTTATTGGCCAGTTATTGAGTTATCGGATTGACAGTGACCACTATTCATGCACCAGACTTGGTTATTAACATACATGAGGTTTATGTGGGTAAAGTGTTGTGCACTTTACAGCCGTAGACGTCCAATTGTAGCACCATCTCCCATCACAGAACTAACCAGGCAGAGATCCGCTTATTTTCTGAGGTCTGACGTGATTTCACATGCCGGTGCACTGTCATTCCGGGATGACACACCATCCCGGAATGACAGTGAGACAGGCCTCCTCTCTGACAATGTTTAAAACCAGGTTAAAAACAGTTCTGTTTAGCTGTGCATATAACTGAGGGATTTTATATTTTTATCTTTCTTCTTAATGTACTGTGATTATTTATGATTTTAATGCTATCTTATTTTGTTTGGCACTCTGAGTTGCCTTGTGTATGAACTGTGCTATTTTGACATGTGTTGCAGAACATGGGCTCCAATGGGAAAAAGCCAAAAGAAGCCACTAGTGTTATAGCAGACCAAAGCACAGTATGTCTTCTTTAAAGATCCACCACTGATCTCAACTGTCCGACCAACACTCACACACTCACACTTACATTTCAGACTTTATCTTTTCAAAAAGGTGGATAAAACATTGCAAAAGAGTCCCACTTCAAAAGCATGCATATTTAACCATGTGTAATATTCTAAGAAGTCTGTTAT